TTCGATGGAATTGTAATGTCACCGGTTTGACCTTTCGAGGGAAGCGTGGCTCGGATATTCCGGTACGATATTAATACAATAATTGTGCGAAAATATCAAAGGCTCTGAGCATCGATCACGGTGAATCGTTAAGATTATTATTAACCCCGACAGACATAGGAGTTTTTTTATCGATAAAATAAAAACGCCCACTTTTAACTTATTTGTACGTTTACCAGAAATGTATCGGCCATCGATTATGCGTCTTTTTTATAAGACTCCGTTCCCCGGACGCATTTGTTATAATATGACCTATATATGGAGAGAGATTTATAATACTTATTCGATTAAACTCCGTAAACTTGATTTTCGACGGAATGGAAATCCATCATGAATTATGCATGATTTCCTTCTCGTTGACGCCTCGTCGATGTTTATTTGTTTTATTGAAAAATATGAATATGTGTCTCAAAGTGTCGGAGCGCATTATTATTAATCTTAAGATTGTTATTGAGATCCGTATTAATATTTTTTTTAACAGGTGAAATATTATTTTTCTGCTTGTTTGCTTTCTCGCGGATGATAGCGAATTATCCTGTGAACGAGTAGAAACAATGCTGCCAGATTCGCACGGGGAAACGGCTTTCCTGGGAAACGGGAGTACGTCGATGCGACTTGCGCGGCAACCTTTGACATTTCAAAAGGGCGGGTCGAAGTTTCCTTTTCACCCTCCGAGAGTAGGCACACTCCCGGTGTGACCCAACATCCGGCCGAAATGTGTACGACGCATAAAAGATCTATGTACTAATTTGCTGAATTACAAATGAGTTTTTGCCTCGTAAAAGGTTAAAATCTTGATGTTTGTTAATTTTCTTCTCTTCTTTTTTTTTCTTTACTTCATATCCTTAATTCTTTTCAGTAATTAAATGTAATACATCCTCCCTTTCTCCTTATATTTTTGTCGCAATGCCTTTTGCAAATAAAAATACACGCAAGCAAAAATGTGTTCCAAATGTATAAGTACCACGATTTCATATATCATCGCTTAAAAAATATATAAATGTTTCCTTTGTCATTAGAATTCTTAAAAAGCGACTTGTACTGCTTTATTGTAATATGAAGATGTTTGCAACTACCATTACAGCATGAAAAAGATTTCTGCTTTACATTTACTTTATTCTTCCTTGAAATTAAGTATATAGAAGACTTCATAATGTGCACATTTGACAAAAGAACGATTCTTTTTCAACGAAAAGCAAAAGATAAATTAAAATTTGTATCATATTTTCAAAATTTAATTGTCAAATATGCACCTTTTAAAATTTTATTGTCAAATAATTAAAGATTATAGTCATTATTCTAATTTTGAACTAAGATACCTCATTCTAATTCTAATTTTACTAAAATACCTCAAGATACTTAGTATAAGATCCGCTCAAAATTAATTCCAAAATATAGTACGATTTTGTTATTTATATTTATAAATCTTGATTTATTATTCTTTGATTGTTAATTAAATCATTACTAAAATATTATTTATACTTCT